GCGTTTAGGACGGGCCAAGGTGGAAAAAGATAGTAGTTAATAATAGCGGAGCTCTCGCGCGAGCGTAGTGCGCGCAGCGGTGCACCATGGGTAACAAAATTTGGTAAACTATCCATCCCAGAAAATTTGGTTATGACGTAGCGTACGCCCGCCCACTCGTACACACACCTCATGTATATACTTAAATTGAGTCATTACTAGCTCTCTCAAATACGAATCATACCAAAAAAGTCTTTCTTGTACTTCTCAAAGTACATGTTAAGTGTATGTTAAGCGAACACGAAAGTTTCTACAGCTGAGTGACACATTTGCATATCGCAGTGCCGACAATAACTCGTTCCTAAATATTTTAATTATTCATTCAAAATGTTTTCCCGATTCTGATTGGCTAAAAGCACACACATAATTCACCATAACCAGCTACTGATGACCAAATTTGGAAGAATTTTGCGATTAATCAACGGATGACGTCAATAGTGCAGCATCCTTGCAGGTTAATGCATCGTCAACCTAGAAGACCTGGGGACCAGAATTAGTTGTTTTGGTTGTGAAAACAAAAATGGCGGACATTTCACTCCTTTCAAGAGTAAGAACTAGGCAGAATAATAGCTAAAAACATGGCAAGAACAGCAAGAAGACAACTCTAGGGGAGACATCTGCTATTTAGAGAATATTTGCGGAGCTGAACAACCCTAAACGTGCACTATCGAAGATGAACTTAACATCGATGGATGTAAGCATTTTTAGCTATGCTCTAAGTGGTAACATCACGTAGCCTGAAAGGGGAGTTTTGTTATTTTTTAAATTAAAATTAACCGCATAAAATCTCGCTTCCACTTGCAAGTATCGGCAGGCTGCTTCCAATTTTTATCTAATATTCGACTTTACTACTATTTCACCCAAATTCCGTTCATTCTTTCACGAATGCAACGTGATTTACCTAAGTAGTCGATGAAAATATCTTACCTTCAACAGAAATTTTAAGATGGAAGATCGGGTCAACTTGTCTTATTAATCCAATTACCAAAACGTAAAAATTTTGTGCATCTGAAAAAAAGAGAAAACAAAGCGTTAAGAGGGTGTAGGCGCTGCGTGTCATGAAATGTCAACTTATCAGTAATATTGTGCAGGGAGTTATGTGAAATAAAAAAACAAAACAAAACAACATCAACAAAACCAGAACTATTGTAGGATTGTTCCAATGTATAGGAAGAAAAGTAGCTAAATATAACCCCTCCTAAAGATCAGGGCCCAGTTGTTCGAAGGCCGATTAGCGCTTAACCTAGGGTTAAATTTAACCCGGGTTTCTTTTTCTTTTATTCAAAAGCATTTTCTCGGATAAGTTTCTCCGTTATTTTTAAGAGCATCCAATCATCAACTTGCCGACAGAAAGAATTAAACTGAATATACTTTTTAAGCGTTCAAATCTGAATTCAAATTTCGCACTAACCGCGGGTTATCTTAACCCAGCTTTGAACAACCGGGCCCAGGGAAGCGCAGCTTACTATATGCCCTACACAATTGGTAAATATGAGCTAAAATATACATCTAGAATAGTTACTAACGGTTAATAGACTTCTTGATTAGGGACAGCTTAGGATAGAGAAAAGGAGTAATTTCGTTGTTCTCCTAGTAAACCTATCTTTCCATTTACATGTATGAGTGTCAGTCATCATGTAACATCGTTATTAAACCCTTAGTAAAAATGCGAAGTTTACGATTTCATAAAGAAAGATACGAATTTCAATGTGATAGAAGTGATAATCAGCATGATATGACGAAGAAAATACCCCGGTCAAGAGTCTCGTCTGGGAGTCAAGTTTTTTTCTTTGTCCCACGATCGTGAAATGTCACACATGACCATAATCACAAGAGGTAGGGATAGGTTTTAGTTAGAAGGTGACGTTATCACCAGTTTCCTCAGTCGCTATCCCTATTGAGCCTAAGTAACTGCTGAATAATAGTTTCAAATATCCGGCTGTTTACCGCATAGCCACAAACCCTCGGCTACCCTTTAAAAGCTATTGCCGCACTCATGCGCAATGCCCTAAAGTAAATGGCACGCATGGAAACGAGGAAGGATGATAAAAGCTTATAGGTATGGCTCTGCTGCCCCTTCGAGTTGCGCTTTCAGGTTGAATTCATAGGAAAAAGACGCCTAAAAACATGAATAAATCTGAAAAAAACGCCTGAAGAGAAAGTCTTTATACAAAAGAGGCGAATGACCAATATCGTGCTTGTTTGGCGTTTTTTACTCGATATTTCAGTTTCTGTGACATTAAAAAATGATCAGAGACAAAAGACATTCCACGGCATGACGTTTCATAGGAACCCACCGAATGTCTGTAAAACATCTTTTCGAAGAAGCGAATGTTGCCTAGACATTTCTTTAGCTAGCGGAAGAGTAAAAATTACTAGATGATTGTTTCCTATCTATACTTTTTAAAGTGTTTAAATTAACTTCCCTGTATAAGCTGGGTCTGATTTTTCACAGATCACTCGACTCCAGATTTGGCAAGTGCTCGTTAGAAAGAATTAGTAAATTTTAGTTTCGAGAAAAGTGGCGGAAATAGGTATTAAAAAACTCCTCGCTTCCGTAAAACTTTAAATAGCAATCAACCGCACTGTTAGGGTTTTCGCATTTGAAGTGGGAGAAATTTAAACTTGCCCTATGATGACCGAAAAGATAAATAATTTATAGCACCTCAGCCACCGCTTCTCTTAGAATGCACAGCTGTTAAACTTCAAATAATATACACGAAATAATTACTCAATTCTGATTGGCTGAGAAAGGAGTGCAGTTCGTCTGTAGCACGAGTGCAAACTTGTAACACGAGTGCAAAACTTGTGACAAGAGTGCAAATTACAAATGGTTTCTGATTGGCTGAAAACACAAAAGAAACCACCAAGAACCAATCAGATTTTAGCTGTTTTAGTAATAAAATTTAAGAAAATGGCAAGCCTTGTGTGAGCCTTCTTACGCGTTCTGTAAGTATCTTACAAAAGGCTTGTGCAAGCTCTCTTACACGTTCTGTAAGAACTCTTACACAAGCCTTCCGTAATTATCTTAGGAAAGCCTTCTCTAAGTCATACACAGAAGACAACAAAAACTGTTTACATAATTTTTAAGTGTTAAAGAAGGCGTTCGTAAGAAGGACTTTTAGTAATGAGCTATCTTAATTAAATTGAGCTATTTAGTGACACAGCAACTAAAATAGGGTAATTTTAGTGCAATGGAATATATAAGGTCTTGTATATTATATTCTGTTACTGTTTTTATATAAGGTTCTGTGCCCAGCTGCTAAGATTGATCCGAAGACTTTTCCTTTACGAGCTTTTTCGGATGAGGTATATATGCAGTTCGTAAACGCGCGCTGTGCTTGATGCAAAGCGATAGCATGAAGATCTACGTAGATCGATCCGAAGATAGGCTGTAAATATGTAACACCGTGCAAGGAACTCGAGTTATTCAAATCTTAAGGAGGCTCTCAGCTATTTCTTGACTCTCTGAACTCTTTATTTAAGCAGGAGAATGTGATAAATGGGTAAAGGAAAAATCTGAAAGCCACCGACATACACCGGTGCATGTGGGGTCTAGATTACATGATTTTATGACCAATTCATGGTTAACCTGGGGAACTGAGCTCATATATGTCACTACCATGATAAGTAAAACTTACATCATTTTCAGTTTCGTCAGTGGTTACTATGTAACAGAGTTTTCATCTCATTTCGTATCAGTTGGTAACTTGTCTTCACTTGTTAAAGACACGATTCTCTGAAAGATGTTTGTCAAGAGCTTTCACAAAATAAAAGGACCCGAGGTAGTACTGTTTGTGGGATTCATCATCCTTCTTTGGTAAATGTTGACAGGAACAAAATGAATACACAGACAAGAGAAAACCTTTTTGATAGTGGAAATGGCAGCCTGGTTTACTATGGCCTGAATCGCAGATTTGTCGTCAGTTATTCCATCTCCAACAGCGGCAGCTAGGGAACCGTCAGGTTGCTTCACGTTTGTCATTCCAGCAGGTACCCTGTTCGGTGTCCCTGTCAGATAGTTTTGCTGAGCTAAGAGATGGAGGAATTAAGCAAATCAAGCTTAGAAGTCCGTTACGAGAAATGCTGTTGTTCGGCTGGCTTAATTTCACATTTGATTCACAGTACACCACAGGAGCAATTAATATTTCTAACATTCTACAACTTTATGAGAAAGCTAGAAGTTTAAAATTACCCTATCGAGCTCTATGAATGAATGACTGATTACACTTGGTTTAACTCTTAAAGAAAATCAATCGAAAAAATCTCCTGTTCTCAGTTTTGCTAGGCAAGTTTCTAAGATTCTTGCTTTGAAATAGCCTGCGAAAACATCGTTCCGTTTCTCCTCGCTCTTCGCCGACGGGGACGTTTCGAGCGAGGAGAAACGGACGTTTGAGCCTGTTAGCTTTGAAATGGTTAGTATCGCAAGGCGTAAGGTAACTTTATTTATAAGCGGTATTTCATTTACATTATTTACATTCAATAACAAAAATCCTCCGTAATGAGCCTTACGTACGTGCTGATTGCTTTTTGATAATGATTTTCCGTTCTCCCTTGTGATTAACTGCAGACGTTCTCTGTTTGTGGTGTCTACCAAAGGGCCCTCTGGCAGAAACATTCTCCATCCTTCAGTAAGGAGAAAATATGGCTGAGTCAGTATCATACGGGCTTTCTTCCCTCCTGGCGTGTACCAGGTCAACGGTGATATCGCCATCGCCGACTCTGTGGAACTTTACGGAACACAGAGTGGTATCGCAGTTATCAAAGCCAGGGATGCATATGCCATAAAAATACACAATGCTTCACCGGTAACGCATGTTTCACTAAAGTATCTGTATTTTGACGGAATTCGTGTAGAATTTGAAGGTCGGTCTACAAACAATATCACAATAGAGGGTTGCGTATTCTTTTCATCGCAAAATCCAGGAACAGCAAGCAATGCTTGGAAGAAACAGTTGAAAATGGTTAACCTTAGACAAGGCCGTGTTACCAAAAACGTTTTTATGCGCGATTCACATGCTTATGGGGTTGCTATCAGTTTCGCCCATACCGTGAATGTAACACTAGATAACAACTTGTGTGGTCTCAAATTAAGTCAGGATATGTTCTGGTTGTCCGACGAAGTTGAGCCAAAAAGGTACTGGTCGGGTCAAAAAAATAAATTAGAATTCCTTAAAACTCATTACCATCTTCAAGATGACCAAGGCTACTTTAAAAGTTGTCTCTATGAACATTGCGACGAAGGAATGCAAATCGAGAAAAACGTTTTCAACGGAAGTCCAAATACTGGACGACATAGAGACCACGCCATATACCTCAAAGGGTTCGACAACATGACAGTAATAAGCAACTACGTCAGAGGTTGGCCTGCGAATGCATCGGGTGGCATTAAAGCTCGAAATGGCCAAAATCTTTGGCTTGTTCGGAATTACGTTGACGACACCGGAATTCTGCTGTATTCGCACGACAACACAAGAAACAAGGCCTGTATTTATGTAGGTCTCAAGAACGTTGTAGTCTACGGAAATCACCTCAGAATGCAAACCAACCTAAACAATTCAACAAGTGGTTTAAGATACCACGAGCCTCATCACAATGTTGGAAGGGATGAGAACATCAAATATTCTGGCAATGAATTTGAGATCATTGGCGTCAGTAATCCGACTGATTACCCTTGCATTTGGCTGACCAATGGCAATCCGTCTGAACATCACGTGTACGCAGACAACACATATTTTGGCCGAGGTAACACGGTTAGGATTGCAGGCCGGCATGGCCAGGTCCTTGGTCCTGCAGCATATGAACGAGGGGACTTCAACTAAAGTATCAAAAATACGTTAAACCGTTATCCTTTATACAAACCAAACATTCCACTCTATTAAAATGAGTAACTCTGGCACACATTATGAGAAAAGTAAAAAAGATTAAAGATGAATTACAATATTCATAATTACGTATAGAAGAAACAGTTGATGTGTTATAAAACTGTTTTAGGGAAATATTAAAATATAATCCAGTAATATATGTGTTTTGTTGAACTGCTCTTTCACATTGATAGAAGTAGCCATCACGCAGCAGCGCCTCTTAAATCATTACCGTTCAACTTTCTGGTCCATCATATCCGAGTAAAAACGTCTATTTATCATCAGCATCTTCATGGTACAGAGCTAATTTACTAAAGGGAAATTTGGACAAGTACCAGACAATGGCACTTGGTTGCGGAAGGAAGTCTATGGACAGTATTATGATTGACAATCATGAAGTCAGATCCACTGAATGTCTCAAGCTATTAGGTGTCTGTATTGATAACAATCTTCGTTTTGATGAACATATAAGTAGTATCTCTAAGAAGAGCGCCCAGCGGGTAGGCGTTCTCATGAGGCTCAGGAACCTTATACCCACACAAACTAAGTTACAGTTATATAAGGCAGCTGTTCTTCCGTATTTAACCTACTGTCACCTTATATGGCATTTTTGCCGTGCTAGTGATTCTAGACGACTAGAGCGTATCCAGGAAAGAGCACTTAGGGCTATATATTGTGATAAACATTCGTCCTATGGTCAATTACTATCTATGGCTGGGCTATCGACTCTACACAACCGGCGACTACAGGACATAGCTATTCTCATGTATAAAGTTAAAAACAACATGTGCCCAACCTACATTAGCACTCTCTTTGAACAGCCTGCAATTAAGTATGAACTGCGCAATCATGACTTCACTATACCCAGATTCAACACAGTCTCCTTTGGAAAGCACTCGCTCAGGTATATGGGCCTAAGGTTATGGAGTTCTGTTCCTAGTAACGTGAAAAAAGCTTCCACGTTGTCCTCCTTCAAATATAACATAAGCAAAGTGGATCTTAGCATGCTATTAGCTGACAATAACTGCTCTAACTGCTCTCTTTGCACTTCTTAATCTTTTATTTCTTATTTTTTTATAAGATAATGGATACATTTGTACATATTGTATATAATTCTCTCGAATTTCACACTTGCTTATACTGTACATAGTTTTTCTTAATTTTAATTAATTTATTAATTGATTTATTTTTTAAATTTATTTTAGTGTCCCCACTTAGTGGTTATACACCGCTATTACAGTCTTGACACTTTAATAAAGGTATCATCATCATCATCATCATCATCATCAAGAAAGATAACTTGTTCAAGACAAACTATAAACATGCATAACTGTAATGTAGTATTTTTATTAAACAACGAAGGAGTGGTCGCTTTGCGCAATGGCAACTAATTTCATTTAAATTTTCCTTGCCGTTCAAAGTTCTTTATTAGTAAATTCTGTTAGAAACTGCAAGACCGACGACGTAGGTTAATCGCGAGATACTTCAGAGGGTGTGGATGGGGTTAGCTGATAGCTGGGGATTGGCCAAAACGTTAAATGTTAGCTGGGAAACGATACCCAAGTTTTGTAACTGATAGCTGAGATTCTTTGAGCAACCGTCAGCTGAGATTAGTAAATTGTGTCCGAGACACTGAGACAGGTTATCGTCCCTATTGGTATTATAGCACCTACACCTATATAATTGTTTTTTTTCCCTAACAACGATTGTAATAAATTTCCGCTCCTGAGGGCCAGCATCGCAAGCTACAAGCAATTGCAAAAATTGAGACAGTCCTTGACATGTGCGTCAACTTAGACCCTTTCTTAATGTGATATACTGACGATTTTTAAAAAAGTGCATCATGTTTGATATTGATATTTCAAAACAATCGTAGCCCGCGTGGAAGCTGCCCATTTGGGAATCTGGAGACAGACGAAGGGACATGTCTCCAGGTTGCTGTTTCTACTTAATGTACCTCTCACTTGCCTCTCGCAGGCCTGCCTATGAAATGATGGAGAATCCATAGGGGCGAGTGCAGGGGGTGCCGGTGAATGTTCGCTGCAGTTTTGTTGCATCGAGTCTTGGGGTCATCTTTTACAATAAGTCTGCTCACAGACCCCACCCCCCTCCCCCACCCCTACTTTCCCATTAAAGACAAACATTGCCGCGCTCGCTACCGAAAAGACTTTAGATGAAACACGTCTGGAGCACCGACTAGTTTTCTATTTATCTCTTTGTTACTATAACCCAGATTTCCTCGGCTGGTGAGGTGACCAGTCCATGAACCGGTTTGACCTGTTGTCCCTCTACGAGATGAAACTTGAACCGTTTGATGAGGACAGCAAGAAACACGAGCCCTTCAGCGATTGAGAACCTCCATCCGGGACATTTACGTTTACCAGCAAACCCAAACGGTTGGTAAGCGAGGCTTGGAAGCTCTTTAATGTTCTCTGAACTGAAACGATCAGGATCAAACCTGAAAAATATTACAGGGTGCCATTTTTCTTTACTGGCACAAGTTATCTCACTTTCTACAGTTAGGGTCTTTACGTGGCAAAGAATTGGTCTACGCATGCGTCAACAATTCAGTCTTATTTACAAATGCTGTTACAAGACCCTGTTTAAACGGAATAAAACCTCTATCTGTTTAAAGAAAACATCACACTCCAGATTAGGTTACATGGGTCAACCACTGGAACAAATTTCAAAAATGTAAACTAACTAACAGAAAAATGAAGTAACTTGCCCCTTCCCCTGATCACAAGAACAAAAAAATAACAATCAGAACTTGAAGAAACTGGATATATCATGGGGAAAAAACAGAGCAACTTAGTTGTAACTAAGGATTTACTCAAGAATGGTTGAAAAGTGGCAGGAATCTTTTTAGCCACCCGGGTATGTCCCACATGGCAAGGAGTGCTACCGTTTGAAACATCAGCTTTTTGTTGCCTTTTTAAAACTCATTTCACCCCAAATGCGCCCCCATTTAATAGTTTTACTTCAGTTGAGAAGCAACTTGTGGTTTGATGTCCTCATCTCCCAGAACGTCTTCAAGTTCCTTGTAAACTTTCTCTTGGATCTCAGGATGTTTCGTCACGTAATACAAACACCATGTCATCACTACAAGACAGAAAAATGTTTGGTGGATACAAAACTAGTATTAACAACTACTGGTCACCCCTGGGGAATGCAGGCCTACCGACCGCTTAATACAGGTTTAACAAACCTACTAATACTCAAGAAAATGAAGAAGATGAAAGGGCGAAATATCTATTCCACGACAATCGACCTCAAGTGTCTCTACCTATTTTTGTGTGAAAAGAAAGGAGGTAAAAGACCACTTAACACCGTGCACGTTATATCCGTTGTACTAGTTGTCATAGTGAAGGCGTTAAATAGAGCTGAAGACGACAAAAAGTAATTCGTTGGGCCCACGGAAAAGGTGACTACCATTGCTTAATACACTGAGGTGGCTGCTTAATAGAGGTCAGTTTTACAGTTTTTAAGGGAAATGATTTTCGGGTCTTGACGGTCTTTGGTAATGTGATCACTTACTGGAGGGTAACCGTTTAATAGTGGTTTAATTGCTTAATACAGGTTTGACTGTATTCTAGCTGAGAAAAGGAAAGAAAATCTGGAAATAACTTCAGACGTTAATAGGATTAGAACCCATCATCCTTACAGTTCCAAATGCCAGTATACAGTATTAATTTTTACCCTATTAAACTTCGCAATTCAGAAAAAAAAAACAATAAATGCCGCACCCAGTCAGAAGAATGCGGCGTTTATGCGAGAATTGTAAGAAAAAACTGGGTACAATTTGGTAATCTACACCAACCAGTCAATTACGATTCTATCTCAGCAAAAAAAAAGCGAGACATTGGAACTTGTAGCATCTTTCTGTTTTACAGTTATAAAAATCTACAAATGATTTATCGTAATTGCTCTCATTGATTGGAGAAATGTAAGTTTGAAGCAAACGCCATCCTTGAATAAACGTCAGAGCGGAAACGCTACAAATTTAACAAACGCCGCGGCGTTTAATCAAATATCTATTTTATGGGTTGAAATAACGTAAACACTGTAAATGGGTTCTGAAGATAACCAAGGGTCCAGTGCACTTACTGAATCCTGTTGTGTGGAAACCTCCGACTAGAAATGTAATGACGGTGTCATTCATCTGCAAAATAATCATTACAAAAAAAAAAAAAGATTTTATCAACGTTAAACCCTTAAGAGGCCTGCAGCAAATTATGGGTAACATTTGTGGGCAATAGTTACAGTCTTGTGGAGCCAGACATCTCCAGAAGAGAAAAAGAAAAAATAAACCATTCATGATGGCCAGTCTGAAGTGCTTTATTGGGAGATTCTATATCTGTTAAAAGAGGAGTAACATGCTTTGAGTATTATTGACTAACTACTTACTTTTAACTGAAAAAAATACAACAGCAATTCTAAAGGAATTACCTGAAGGTGTCAGGGGGTAAGAGTGCTTGTTTTTGACAAATTTTAAGATAACTAAATAAGTAAGTGGGAAAAAGGTATTTAAAGAATCTCTGTCTCCTCACTATCTCTTTTTCCCTATGTCCTCTTACCTTCTCACTTTTAAAACGAATTTGCCAGTAATCAGACATTGAGGCTACAAATTTCCCTCGCGTGTCCCCGCGCGCCCCGTTCTTTCTTGCACCCATGTTAAATACAAGCGCCTGCTACGTAGGCTACTCACTCATTTGATTTATGTGGCTGAATGCAATTTGGGCAAAGTTAAACTCGAGACAATGCTCGCCAGCTGTCTTTCCCTAGAATTCACCGGGGGCCGGCAGCCATGGGCCTTTCGCTTGGGTATCTGGGATTTTAATGCTATCGTGTTGAGGTCATCTCATTTCGCTCGTGTTGTATTACGTGAAAACGTTCGCTTGTGTTTATTTCAGCTCTCTTGCCAGCCCACCCTTTGGTAAGTATATTTAGTTTCCACTGGTTAGCAGTGTGACGGTGCCTGGGTGGATGCCCCTCACGGGGCTGTCATGGTTAACCACTTCTCTCGGCTGCAGTTCTGAGCTCCACCAGCTTCTCAGGCACCTCCCCTACACTCATCTACCGTTGAGGAGTTTAAAGGTACTTATGAGAAAGACAATTTGGAGGCGGGTGGGGATGTTATGCCTTCAAAATGTTTGTCACATGTTGAGGAAAAAGAGGCGGTATAATTCATTAAGTGAAAACTTGATTAACAGTCGGAATGACCATGCAGGGCTAAAACTATTGGCAATCGTAGATTATAGAGTGCGTTCCACGTAAGAGTATCTTTCGATTGATGTGCACGAAAATGCCACAGTACCACAGAGTAAATTTGATGATAGCTCAAAAAATTGAAATGAATGAAATTTGTAAAACTACAACAGTTCAAAGTAATGATTAAATTCTACATGTGCTAACACTAAACATGCTGGTTGATAAACATTTCTCGTGCAAAATTATGCAAACTATATATTAAATATCAGGTCATCAGCCATCATGCAACCTCTTTGAACTAAAGAAAGTGATGAAAAGGCAAACAAGTGACATGAACAACAAAAAAGATCACCACTTGGTAGCACAGGATCCCCAGGAGTTTGTTACATTCTCCTACAGTACAGGACACTCAAGACTTTGTTGCATTCTCTTAACGTCATTTTTGGAATAATCACTTCGGATTTTGGATTTTGAGGCGAAAAAGGCCTTTTTGGCAAAAAGCCTTCAAAAACAGACAAAAGATGGGCATCAGCTGTTACCTCCTCCTCATCCATTAGATCACAATCCAAAATGGAATCAAGAAACAATGTTTCATCCTTATGTTCTTCCTGTCTTCTCCTGTTCATCATATTTTTGACCATTTCTTTCATGTATGTTCTTCCTGATAGAAAATAAATCACAATGAAATTTGCTTAATCTGCAACTGTGGTAACAAGAGCTTTTTTCACCTGTTAAAAAGTAAACAGACACTAGAGTTACTAAGTTTAGGCAGTAAAACCCTGTTGATATGACATATTGTCGTATTTATGTTCGGGCAGTAAAAATTTAGTCATATGAATGAGGTAATCACAAGGTTTAAAGCACCCCCATACCATATTCAATTCATCCGATGTACTTAAGCTATGATGTCCTATTCTGAGGGTAAATAATTTCACGCGAGTCTGTCCTAATTAACAACAGGGTAAGGCATACACGATTGATTTCACTTGCATTTTTGATGAAAATGGTTTGTACCTAAAGTACATGTATTAAGAAGCAATAGCTGTTGCATTTGCAATAAACGACTTAAAACAAGACTAGGTGAATTTGGTTCTTTGTCCTAAAACAGGTCAGGATTTCAAACCCTTAGCAGTTAACCTATAACATTCAATTGTTTGACTACCTCCTCCTCCCCAGGTGCAGTCCCACATGTGGGGGGTCCTCAATGTTTTACAGTTGTTCAGAGATGGGTGAAATTTGAATTCAGATATGAAGCTTAAAAAGCAAATTTAGTTTTATTTTTTTGTCTACAATTTGAAGACTGGATGCTCTAAAAATAATAGAGAAAATTATCCTGGAAAATATTTTAGAACAAAAGAAAAAGAGACCTGGGCTAGAACTAAACCCTGGGTTAGCAGCGCTAATCTGCCTTTGAACAACTGGGCCCAGTTTGTACCCATTCATTTACCTTCTACCAATAAAGTTTCCATTTAAGCTAATTCACAAGCTTTCATTTTATGAATTGAAAATTTCAGAAGGGTTAATAAAGGTTTGAGGTAGGCAATAAGCTTGTGTACAACTTCAAGATGCAGTTCTTCAGTGCTCCAGCAATTCCAGTTTCAATACAATCATTTAAGACAATACTCTATACAGTACCTTGTTGAAATTTTTTTTCTCTGTCACTGTCGGGAGAGGGACTGGGACCAGCCAGACGCGCCTCCATCTCATGCCAGCACTTCAAATATAAAAAGCAAAAATGATTAACATATAAATATGATGTCTGAGAAGAAACAGTTCGTGCGCTATGTAAGAACATATCCAGCATGCCCAGCCACCCTTTGCATCCTTCCCTCCCAAAAACAAAAGAAAGCACGGTGCCTGTCCGAGTTCTAAGCAGCTAGTTCCCTAGGGTTATTAACCAGTAATTTTAAAATAGTTTCATCAATTAGCTCTATTTTAAATACAAACAAGAAGCAATTTAATGTGAATGTGGTTTTTTAATGTTAATTTTAATATTTAAACGGAATTTTAAGCTTTTTGTACTCTTTTTATAGCTTTTAAATTTGTTTTTAACTTGTGCAAATTAAATGTAGGTTTATTAGTTTAAGTATAAACATGAATTTTTGCCAAATAATAAAGACCTCAAGATAAAGACCTATTATAAACACCAAAGGAAAGATGGCAAAAATAAACTGAATCACGATTTATGTACATACATCTTCATATGCTGATGTTAACTTCTGAATCTCCTTCTCATCCATAAAGAAGCGTCCCATTCCTGCAACAGAGATGGCTTTTATAACCATGGCGATCATGGATTCTCCAAGAGGAACATGCTCCTGATTCACTGCAAATGTGGCAAATTTCACAGCCATTTGTTTGGCAATCTAAAGATTGAAATGAGATGAAAATATCTAACAATTTATTTTTGGACGAGGTTGACCAAAATATCATGATTTGTCAGTAGTGAGCCTTCAGCTTCGGCAAACAATTGATCTGTGAGACACACTGATAAATCAAGATATTTTGTGATAACTGGAGTTCAATAATTTTTTCTTTTATTGTTTGATCACTGAGTTTGTGTTTTTTAATGAATTTCTTCGAGAAGCAAAGAGATCTGCCATTTTCAAGCAAGAGCGATGCAAAGAAGCAGAAAAGTGCGGTTTCATTTATGCATGAGCATAATATTATTTGCAGCCAAACACAGTTGGATGACACTGAACATGAGCAGACCATTATTTGTAGGCAGTTATTTGCAGGTCACGTGGTGAGCTCTCGGCCAATGAAAAGGAAGACAAATCTGCATCATTGCCATAAAAAGCTCACTGCATCATTGCCATAAAATGCTCACCGCACTTTTCAATATAACTAGCAAACTCTGAAATTTGAAAGCAAGCTTACATATATTTTGCATTTTTCGCTGCTGTCAATCATAATTATGATCACAAGCAATGAACATAATTCAAGGAATAGTAGTAAAAGAGATTGATGAATTAACTCCCAGGTTTACCACTGTTACTAATACACTGTAAACAACAAACCCTTATAAATAAGTGCTCTTAAAGACGATCAGTATAAGCTGCGAAAAACAGCTAACATTTCACGCCACCTCTACTAGGTAAGTTTCTGGTGAAATGAGCCAATAGTAAGGCACTGTGAAACATAAGTTGTTATCTCAGGCTAAGAAGATATAACAGTTATGTTTGATGTCTCACCACCTTTGTCTTTTAGACTTAGGTTACACTTTTTATAAAATAAAGAAATTAATCAAAATAATGGGCCAAAATTAATAACCAAGGAAAAAAAAAACAAAACAAAACCTGAGTAAAGATTTCATAAAGTTCATCACTGCATCATGACTGAAACTACGATCAACCAACTGCCTTTTCTTGCGTGCTTCTAGTCCATTTTTATAAGTCAGACTCTTCCTTCCCAAAAGAGGTTCAAAAAACTTGAACTGCTCATCTGTAAAATAACATATATAATAATAACTTATACTAAATTACAGGCAAAAGTAAAAATGTTTCTCAATTTTGCTGCATTTTTTTCTTCTCAAAATTTTTTTTAGAAGTCACAAATAATAATAATATATTATTAAAATATTTTTTTATAAACTGATAAACTGTGATTATGAAAATAAATCCAACATATTTGATTGTCTCTACTTTGTGTGAATTATATTTATCTTGATGTGCAATGACTCTATATGAATGGGACAAATAATTAAACATAAACTTGATTCTCTTTCCTTAAACTATGCTAGTAGACTTTCTTCAAACATTTGACTGTTTCTTGACACAGTTTTAGAAGTTACGAACAGATGATTTTTGCATTTGTTCCTTTCATTGTTAGCAGGACTGCTTAGTCAGTACGGTTGAGGAACCTCTCCTTTGGGACACCTCTATTCTAGGCACACCTCCAGGGGACAAAAGATTTGGCCCCTGAAAAACGTCCACATAATCTTTGAATCTATTATCTCTGTTGGGTGGACCCCTCTATTCAGGGGAAAGGGACACTTTCTCTGGGTCCCAAAACCTGGGTTTAACCTTCATTCAGGAGACACCTTAACACTGAAAAAGTGACTGAACACCAAAAGGGTTGATCTTTAAGTGTACACCAATCACAATTATTGTGGAAGCTTTCCCAAACTCAACTATCTCATGCCTTAAATGGATGTAATGCACTTGTGTGAATTCAACATATAATGTCCCAGGGATAAGTTTATGATTGTTGTGGTTTTTTTATGAAGTCTTTGTTGGTTAATTATTAACAAGTCCCAGATCAACCTCTATTCTGGGGACACTAGCCTCAGTCCCAAGGGTGTCATCTGAATATAGGTTCCATGACTGTAATTTGGAACTCAAGATTTTGAACCATTTTCTTCAGTTCTGCTACTGCAAGAGTGCCACAAGAGTGACTGATGTTGATATATTGCCCACAATTCCAAATTTAGTCACTGTCAGCTGGTTACAAAGAATTAGTGGAGAGATTAAAGCTAATCAGAAACAGCAAAATATTTTTGAACAAATAAAAATTAACATTTGAGGTAAACAATCAATATTATTTAATTTGTCTTACAAGGCTTGTCAAAGATTGGTTGTATTTCTTTCCAGTAATCAACTGATGATAAACTGACAGCATATTCCTTTCCCCACCAGAAGCTGACTATCTCGCCGTATTTCTCATGCAGTTCAATCAAATATTCATGAACACTACCAGCCTTTGCCATGTCAGGCAAATTACCACTTCTGCAGAAACAGTAAAACAAAAATGCCAGCAAGGGCATGAAATTAACTTTTTTCCAGGAACCACTTGGCTCCTATTTTGAAGAGCATTTCAGTGACTCATCACGAAAAAAGAGAGAGAAATAGTGTTACTACATTATTATATTTTTGATTTAACCTGGAAATGGATTTTACCCCTAACAGTTTCCATTCTAGGCATTCTTTACTCACACAGGATCTGAAGGTTCCACTCCTGGAATACATGGACCTTTGGATGAATTCCTCTGTAAAATGTAAAAATCACTAAATTAAAATCTAGCTTTATTATCCACCATATGGAACCCCCGCAATGATGTGTTAAACATGCATCAGACTTACATGTATACCACTCTGTCTTTTAATTGTCTTTAATAACACTGGCCAATAATTTTTCATGTTTAAAATAACTCATAATAGTAAAAATAAAGTCATTCACATCGTTGATTAAAAAAATAATAATAAATAAGTTGTAAACTTCCATGTTGATTGCTCTCGACCTCACTACAACAACTCTGGCTAGATAAAGTGAAGAGAAGCATAAAATTGAGAAAACATATCGAAACATACCAGCTCTAAAAAATTTTGCCTCTAAAAATTTTTTGTCTAACAAATGAACTAATCTGCATGTCTATTCATGTAAATTCCTCCATGTTTGGATTTTGAGTCAGAAACCATGTACATGCAATGAAAAACACGGGGGCAGCCTCGGGGTTTGGAAATGCCTGACCCCTGGGCACAGACAAGGAGGGCAAATGCCCCTCAGTTACCCGGGGGGGATGAGCACAACTGAACTGGACTGACGCTTTATGCATAAAAAAATTGAGCATCCCACAGTCAACTTTGACAGCTGGCCTTGGACAGAGAATATTTTTTTCCATTTTAACTAAATTATGCATACGTGGAGTAGAACGAATTCTCTTCCAAATATGCAGCTCCCCATTTTAGCTAGGTAAGCACAAAATCACTGTTTACTGCTGTTTATCTGCATGGCGAAGTGCACTTGCCACTTATTAAGCATACTCACAAAGTCAAACGTGAAAAGGAGAATAACTATCAATCCAAACACCAATACAACGGCAAACACGCCGAAATCATTAACTGAAAAGTGCGAGGGAAACATACTCTTCTACTCCGTTGTTTTTGTACCTGGGCGAATATTTCAAATGGCGCCGAGAGAAAACTAGGTCCAAGTAATATCCTCGTTCCAGGCTCCCTCGTATCTTGAGACTCGCTGCTCTTCGTTAGCAGCTGATTAGTCTCCTTCGCAGCCGTAGCAGCTGATTGGACTGTTTGAAATCAAATGAAAAAAAAAATTCATTTCGTTAGTTTTTCTTTAGATACAAAAAAGGCCAGAGAGAATAAAAATGACCCAATGAAAAGTAGTTACAAGAAGTGCAAAGTATGTTCTAGTGCAGGGTAACTGGCGCTCAACTCAAGCCGCACCTCGTCCAGGCTCTGATAGATTGTGCTCGAAGAAGTAGCATAATATGCTGCTGGCAGTGCTCGTGGGGGCATAAAAGAACTTCCTCTAGCCCCGGGGAGTACTACCTTATACAAGCTATATAAGTATGTGCCGCCCCAAAGGGAAGGGTTTGTGCGCCGTTTCGTTCTGAAAACGGGCACAGACTTTGATATTTTGCCCATTTTGATCTGGAATCGGTTAAGGTTTTTGAGAGAACTACGGAAGTGTATGAACGTAGTTGTCGTGGAGTAACTGCAGAATTAGCCTGCGATCATGCCCTCTCCCTTTATCTCTGTAATCTGTTTTCGGACCAAAGAAGCAAATAAGCAAAGAAAAAAAACGCCTGATCTCAGGTTACTGCAGAATATACACCTGGCCATTTCGAAGCTATACCGCTATAACAGTGACTACGTGGCTACGTGGCTACGCGGCTAAGGGGCTACGCAGCTAACCCTAACACTGACACTTACCCCAACATTAACCCTAACCACAACCCTAGCCCTGACCCTAACCGCAACCCAAACCCAAACTCCTGGGGTATGCGGCTACGTGGCTACGGTTTAGTATAGACACTGCCCACCTAGACTACCCATTGCTATTTGTGGGTAGGAAGGAAGGAAAGAAGGAAGGAAGGAGGGAGGGAGGGAGGGAGGGAGGGAGGGAGGGAGGGAGGGAGGGGGGGGGGGAGGGAGGGAGGGAGGGAGGAAGGAAGGAAGGAAGGGAGGGAGGGAGGGAGGGAGGGAGGGAGGGAGGGAGGGAGGAAGGAAGGAAGGAAGGAAGGAAGGAAGGAAGGAAGGAAGGAAGGAAGCAAGGAAGGAAGGAAGGAAGGAAGGAAGGAAGGAAGGAAGGAAGGAAGGAAGCAAGCAAGGAAGGAAGCAAGGAAGCAAGGAAGGAAGGAAGGAAGGAAGCAAGGAAGCAAGGAAGGAAGGAAGGAAGGAAGGAAGCAAGGAAGGAAGGAAGGCAGCAAGGAAGGAAGGAAGGAAGGAAGCAAGGAAGGAAGGAAGGAAGCAAGGAAGCAAGGAAGGCAGGAAGCAAGGAAGGAAGGAAGGAAGGAAGGAAGGAAGGAAGGAAGGAAGGAAGGAAGGAAGGAAGCAAGGAAGGAAGGAAGGAAGCAAGGAAGGAAGGAAGGAAGCAAGGAAGGAAGGAAGGAAGCAAGGAAGGAAGGAAGGAAGCAAGGAAGGAAGGAAGGAAGGAAGGAAGAAAGAAACGAGCGCAAAAATTCATTCCGTGGAGAAGCAAGTGGTGGCGTCGCAAAATGTCCGCTGTTTTCTCAGGCTGCGGTTTCCAAAACCCATGTGCATTTCCTAAACCTTTCCCTATTTCAAACCAGGAAGGTTAAATTCTATACAAAATATTGTCAGACGGGAAGGGCTCTTGCGCTGGGCATACTTATACGGATTACACAAGAGAGTGCTCTTTCAGGAATCGATTCGTTGGTTAAAAAAAAGTGTATCATAGATTCAGGAGCAATAAACCAATAGAAATGAATGCTACAATTGACATGATCACTTAAATTCAAAAATAGGGTTTTATGTAACTATAAAAAATTAGAGTGTCACCGGCATTGTAATAAAAAATCCTTTACAAAATATCATACTTCATAATGAATGAATGAATGAATGAATGAATAAACTTTATTAACGTGTCAATAGAATATCTAGCAGAGGGGAAACCCTCAGCTGACAAGGGACACCAAATCTATATAAAACCAACTAAAAATCTAAAACTGTACAGGTATAAAAGATTAAGATATATACAATCCATTCGAATCGACATTTCTTTAATACATATCTAAAATCTTAACATTTGCTTCCAAACCCTCTCAAAAGGCCAGCCTGAGTGGCATGCATTTGGAAGGGAAGCCACATAACGAGGAAAAGGTCAAGCTAGGTCAGACCTGTCCGCTCTTTGGGTTCTTGCATGCCCATTTTCACCCTTCCGTAAGAATGAAGATTAATATATTCTTTTACAAACTTTTAATTATACTAACACAATTACAGAGGAGCTTGTTTGTACCTTGCCTTAGGCATTTATATTTATCAAACTTGCTACTTGTTGCATAAATTTACCTTACTTTCTTATAAGTCCAACGGATAATGTGACTGTACTGTCTGTCTGTCCTTTTTAAGGAGTTTTTGTACATGTATATTCAGTATTGTATCTCTTTATTTAAGGCTCACAGAAGTAGGATATGTGTATAACTAAGTGGGCTTCCACAAGTAATCTTGCAAACCCCCAAAGGTGTTTGGATGAACGTCCATCCCTCAGAAAATAGTGAGCTTTCGCGACGACGACGGAAACAGCGTCGAAAACTTCATAAAATGAGTTCGCAAAATGAGTCTTTTTTTTTTTGCAACGTTGCGGCGTTGACTCCAACTCACTTAAAATGTCAAATGTCGGTGAATGTTCCTTAAGTTTAATTCTTGGGGGCGCACCCAGGTTTAGAAAGCGAAAGAAAAATTCGTCCTCGTGTGTCTAAGACCTCCACAAAGCATCGCACAAGAACATTTCACGTCGTGGTCGTGCAGAGACGGCAAAGAAATGCACAAAAAGTGTGTTGCTTGAAAAAAAAATTGTGTTTTTTTTTACTAAACCTATCGAATCGCTTTTTGACGTACTCGTTGCTTCGTCGTCTTTGATCGTTGCTATAATTTAGAAAACTTGAAGCCAGTAAGGTGAGAAATTTGCCAAAGTTTAACATTCACCTCTCAAGCGATGCAGCAGTTCTCACATTTATATGCACAAGTAAAACAGAAAACAGGGCATTATAGGAAAATGAATGCCAGCTGACCAAAACCCTGCATGTGCCACATCCTTTGTCGTGTAGATTAACATGTTTAACTAAAATTCAAGGCTGACATTAGGTGCTACAGACTTCAAAAATGCACATGTATGAATTTTCAATAACAACAGCAAAAAAAAGACTGGTACATGCCTTTGAAAATCTACTGAATGGCTGTGGCAAGAAATAGACAAAAACCTATATCAATGGAAGCACACATTCTACTGGCAAAAGAGTCGGGGTACTACTCATTAGGCCGCGTTCGTAAGAAGAAAAGTTCGGCCCGGGAAAAAAAGGTCACCTGCTTGTACCCAAGCAACCCCGAGCGAGCCAACTTATCATGCATTTCCTTACAAAACATGGTAAACCATTAAAATGAGAAACAAAAAGCTGGCTCGTCTAGGAGGGTCACCCTATCATCACAAAAGGGTGATCCGGCTGGACAGTCGGCTTCACATAAACCCTTTGGCTTGCCCAGTCGGGTCAACTTGGTCGAGGTGAAAAGATGGGGAGAATGCAGCACGAGGGCTGTTGGAGCATCGGGGTCAACTTTTTTGCTCACTTAAATGCTCGCTTTTAAAAAGTAATAGTTGATTTGGCTGCTGGGAAAGTGACCCTTCTACTTGGGAGAGGTTTTCTTCACATAAACAGGCCTTAGTGCAGTTAGTGATCCACTTTGTCAATGGTGAAATAAATGCTGAAGACAAGTGATGTGACAACAGTTACAGTACTGCAGACGGGTTATGGGAAGAGTAACAATATGCTTGGTTTGTGATCACCATAGCTGGCTGTCGGCAGAGCTGACATGCCTCGGCAGAACTTGCTGTACTCTGTATAGACAAGCAGGATGAACATTTGGAGTCACTGCACTCAGACTGCATGGCTTCCATATGCTTTTCCATGAAAACAATAATCTCATCTGCCCAACCAAAGCTCTCTGGCTTGCTGGATGCACCTTGGATGACCTTTTACAAGCAAATGATAAACAGTGTTTACATGCAAGCATCTTAATAATGAAATAATAATAATAATAATACATGTAAGTTCTCTGCATGTGAAAACTTTAGCCTTTCAACAATAATAATAATAATAATAATAATAATAATAATAATAATAATAATGTTAACAGTAGTAATCTTTATTTCACTGATAAAAGTACACATTAAGTGTTACATGTGTTACTACATCTAGGGAGCAAAACTAACTGAAAGTGCAAAAATTACAATTCCATGCCTCTCCTATTTAATGCCTTGGAAAAAAAATATTTTCTTTGACTCCAATTTTTTAGAATAGGATAGAACATTATTTTTCATTTCAAAAAATGTTTATAATAGGGGATTAATTAATAGATAACACAATCAAAGTGTCCCTATATAAAATGTTCCGCTGTTGTTCTATACCAGCCAATAGACAGCAAGAAGAGGAAAAAAAGTTTACTTGCCAATAATCAGCAGAAAGAGCTCCTATACTTGTGACAGAATACAAGCAGATTCAGGCCCCGCGGCTTACACTATAAAATGCTGAGTCACTCATTCAGCAACATAATTTACCTGGAGTAAATGGCAGACTGATTTGTACAGGGCAGTAGACCTAAAATATCAATGGAGAATGCACAGTCATATTCTGCTTCACTCACTGTAGTATAAAAAAATTTATTACAATTAATTATTGCTGCATTCCATACCAGGAACCAAAATAAGTTCACACCCCCAGGCATCATAAACTGTTGGATTTGATCAGCTCAGTTTTGGTTTGCCTGTGTTTAAGAGCCCACAATTTTCAGTCATTGATTCACTGTAAGAAGGGAACCACACTTTCTTCTTTTGTATGCCGGTAATCGTTAACACTTTTTCATATCCTTGCTCAGTTGTTTTGCATAACCACCAACAAGATTGAAGTACAAGATGTGAAAAAAACTGCTGGAGGTTGTTTTCTTTTTTTGTACAACGAAGAAGTATCAATATTATTGAATTAACTGCCCATTTAAGTCTAAACAAAAGTAGGATTAGTGTAACTCAGTACCAGGTAGTCACTTCTTATAACCATCACAAACTGTAAGTTTACATATTTACACTGCCTATGACTTCCTGTTGCATCTGTTTTTCTGTTCTTGTATCAATTATGGTCTTAATAACTGTTTTATGAAATTATGCAACTAGCTTGTGGAAGATATGTTGTGGTTCAGTTTTCTGCCTGGTTTATAGGGCTAAAGACAAATGTCATAGTGACAGGCTAGGCCTTGCGGTATTATTTTCAACAATGAAAACTGCATTCTTGCTTTACCTCTCTTCGATTTGCTTAGAATCTGATGGTGTATACATTGCTTCAACAAGGTTATCCACTCTGATAAAAAAAGTACACTATATTTACAAATATGCAAAAATTATTGATAACATCACA